TTTAATTATGCTCTATGGTTTTTTCGATTTTTACTTTTTTGTTTACTTAATTTTAGTGATGTACGGGAAAGAGTTTTGTATAATAACTAGATTAATATTTACAATTATTTATTTATAAAAATAGATAGGAAAAGCTTTACTAAATAGCTTTAATGAAAGTATTTTATAGCAAAAAAAAAAAAAAACTTTAAAGAATAATATATTATATACATTATGAAGTAATTATGATACAATAAAAAATTGATAATTTAAATATATATTACAACTAATTAGCATATATAATTCAAATAGATCTAAACAGATATATTAGATCTGATCTAATCTATTAAATCTAAATCAAATTCAGATTTTAGATTAGATCTGTGAAGCACTATAGAAAAACTATTTAAATATAAAAATAGTTTTCATATAGTTAATTTTTTTATATAGTTTACAATACTTTTTTAATAATCTCAGAAAGTTTATCTTTCTAAAAATATAAATAAAATATTACAAATAAATCATTATTTTTTTTTATCTTATAATATATTTTTTAAATCATGATAAATTCACAATTTTTTTGATAATCTGAGCAATTTGATTGACTATTATCTGTAAATTAGCCAATCAGATTGTTTAGATTACAAAAAAAAGTTGTAAAATTCGATGTAATTCAAAAAATATATTATAAAATGAAGTAAAAGCAATAATTTAGCTATAATATTTTATTCATATTTTTAGAAAGTTAAGCTTCTCAAGATTACTAAAAAAGTATTGTAGACAATATAAAAAAATTATTAATCAATTGTATAACTATATAAAAATTATTTTTATATTTGAACAGTCTCTTCTGTAGTAAAGCACTACTTTCTGATTTACTTATTTGCGCAGATAATACAAACTAAAAAAAGAAATCAAATTTTGTAAATAAATCAAGTGTATAAAAATAAATTTTAAGATTAAGATATTAGGGTTGTAAGCTTTAGCGATAAGTTAGAATTTTTTATATATAAAATTTCATTTCTATTATTTTTTATTAGTTAATCAATATCGATTTAAATACTAGTTTTTGAGTATTTTTACTTTCTTTTCTTTTTCTTTTTTCACACATATTTAGATTTTATATCAGGCTGATTTGGAATACCTAAATTTTGTATTCTTTAATTAGCTATTTTTTTTTTAAAGATTTGTATTATTCATACAAATATGTAGATGCTACTATCTCCAGGTAAGTGTTTTTTTAAAAATTTCAGATTTTAATATAAGGATATAATATCTGATATTCTCAATATTCTATAGTTTTTAAATAACAGAAGAACTTAATTATATATTTTGTATAATTAATTTATAAGATAGTATGTCACTATGGCTAGATATCTATTCCTATTATACAAAAAGTTATGTAAATATATAGCTTTAGATAACCTCTGCATTGATGTATGTTCAAACTCTTATATTGTATCTTCTATCTTATATTTACTTGTATTATTTTTGCTAGATATATATAAGAAGTAAAAATGTAATTATTACCTGAATGTTCTGACAATCTTAAATACAGTAGTAAAGAAAACTACAGAAATGATCTTTTTTGACAATATTTATAGTATAACTTGTCATTTGTAAAAATATGTAGCTTTTTGGAAGCAAATAGAGAAATCTTTGCTTAAAACTTTTTTAAAATTCTACTTATATGAAGACAATTTGAAACAAGAAAAATAGAGTATAGTCAATATATGGGTAAACTAAACACTTTTCTCAAATATCACGATAAAATATCTGAAATTAGAAAAGAGATATAACAGATTTTAAAGAATTTTTAGAGAAAAAATATAGTATTTCATTTAGATTATATTGCTATCAATTACTCTGCAAGTTGTATACTAGTAGTAGAAAAGGTTGTATGCTTGTGAGTGTACAATATTGTAAACAGTATTTTGTACTGTTATCATCTATCCTATTGGTTGTATACTAGTAGTAAAAAAGGTTGCATGCTTGTTAGTTAATATCAGGAAGTTTTAAAAATATTTAATAAATATTAACTAACGCATAGTATTAGTTAATACTTAAAAGTATAAAAAAACAAACCTTTCATAGATTAACACATTAAAAAATTAGTATAACAATGTATTAAGCAACAAATTTTGTTAACTAACATGTTTTAAAACCGCATTATTTAATGTTAAACAACAAAATTTTTATTAACTAACGTATTTTAAAACTGCATTATTTAATGCTAAACAATTTTTTTATTTTATTAACTAACATGTTTCAAAACAGTATTTTTTTTTATGTTAAACAACAAAATATAGTTAACTAACACTATTTAAAAACTTAAAATTATATATTAAAAAACTTTTGACAACTTATTAATTAAAAAACTAGTATTTAATAAATGTATTTATTTGCTAATATTGTTAAAAACATATAATAAGCACAATATTGCTAGCTAATAAGAATGTAATAAGCACAATATTGCTAGCTAATAAGAAAAAACTATAAGCATTTTATTACAATCGCTATTAATTTTTTGTACAAAAGACTTTTCTATATTCATATTCGCATTCTGAAGAAAAAGCTTTTAAAATGTATATTAAATTATAGAAAATTAGTATAATATTTTAAATAAAATAATATTAGCCTTTAAAGAAGCTATTTATCGATTAACAACTTTAAAAAAATGTATTACCATTGTTATTTTTAAGGATCGGAATTATAATTATCATCACTATCATTGTCTTTAATGCTGTTATTGCTTAGATGGCTTTTAGAGTCAGAGTCAGGCAAGTTTTCGTAATGATTGTTAATATCTATTGAATCTAAAGATCCAACTTGTAAGTTTTCAGAAGAGACACAAGATCTTTTTTATTCTAAAAAAAATAACATTAAAATAAAATAAATATAAAAAAAAAAACAATTAAAATGAATATACTGTATCATTTGCTTCCTTTAAAAGTTTTTAGTACTATGTATCAACAACGTCAGAGTCAAGTTTCGCCAAAAGATAATTTTCATCAAAAATAAGTTCAAGAACGGTCTGTGTCCAAATAGCATTAGCATGGGTACGTTTATCTTCAAATATAAAAGCATATTTGATGATTAAAGCAAGAAAAATATTTGAATTTGGGTTATTTGGATCGCTTAGATTGTATAATTCTTCATAAACTTTCTTGGAGTCCTCTTTTCACCTTTTCATTTGTTCTTTAATATCACATTCATTAAACGGTTTTATCTTACTAATGCCAAAAGTACCCAGAGATCTTCTTTAATTCGACGAACATAGTATCTTTTCTTAATACGATTGGCTGATAGCATCTATAAACAAAGTTAGTATGCAAATTTAAGATAGTCTGATAATCATTTTTTTTATAGATCATTTACCCAATATTATATACATAAGTATATATTAATATAAATTGTCACCTGTTGATATTGGGTAAATTGACTGTAAGAAAAATAACCAGCAAAGTAATGAAAGTAAAGAATACCAATATTGACATCTGAATAAAATTTTTCATTCCACAACTTATCGAATGAAAATCCTTTTTCTTTCAAATATTGTAATTGCTCAGCACAATCTTTGTCATTTTCCAACTTATTTTTGAGCAGCTTTTTCACCTCTTCATCGCTTATTTGCTTATGCTCATGAAATAATTCAGATGAAAGTTGTCTAATTGCTTCCTAAAATATATGCAACAAATAAACATAGATATTAATATAATACAAAAAAGTAAATCTATTTATTAGTTTAATGAGAATCTACTTAAAACAAATAATCTGCTATTTTCTTTGATACCTTTTTCTCTTTACTTTTAACCTCAACAGAATTATATATTTCCCCAGCGTTATCCAACTTTTAAGGATATTTTCAAGCTGTAATCGTTGTTCATTTATAAGATATTCAAGTTCTATATAGCCTCTAAAAAGATGCTCAAGTTGTGATTTATTACTTTGTCCAATGTGTAAGATCTTCATCAACATGCATGAATCAGTAATAGGTTGCTCTATTAAATAATATATAATTAACTTATATATTAAAAAAGATAAAATAAAAATGAATAAAATAAATATTAACCTGGGCTTTTATCATTTAGAGAAGTTATAGAAGAGATAACAACTCAGGGTTGAGACTAAATTATAATATATGTGTTAAAATTTAAAATATACAGTAAAAAAAAAAAAAAAAAAATACAAAGTCCATTAGTAATCCTTTTCTACTACCTAATGACTTATCATTAGTAGTAGTAGTTGTATTATTAGTAGTAGTCATCCTTTTAGTAGTAGTTATTGGAAGATCAGGAGTTTCTGTATTAGCCACTTGGTCAGCAGCTTTTCTTTTTTTGGATAAAGAGTTTAACTCTAATGAGATATTTAATTTTGTTGCTTGTGCCGAGGTGGTTGATTGTGATGATGTAGTTAAGGTGTTTGAAGTTGTTGATTTTGGCTGCAATAAAGTTCGAGATGAATTGGTTGATATTCATTATTGCCCATTGCATGTTGTTTGGCCAATGATCGTTTGGGTTGATGCAAAGAACTAAGATTAAAAGATGTATATGTATAATTAGTTTTTTTACTTTTTCTTCTCATAGTGAGTTAGTGTTAATTGACAAGAGCAATAAAATGAAATCCTTTCATTTTATATTATTCTAAAATCAATTATTATACATATTGCTTATTAGTCACATTAGCTATCTGAGTTGAAATATACATACGCAAACTAATTTGAAAATACTTATCGTCTTACATTATGCGATATGGTTATATTATTAGATTTCAAAATTCTGATCTGAAATTTTGTAGAAGAATTTGTTAATAATTATATAACATAATAGAAAAGGCACTAACAGATGACAAAAAAAATTTACTAACAAATAGTAAGAACTTCGACTTTTCGATTCTAGGAATTTTGTAGAATAATTTGTTAAATAATAGAAGTTATAATTCATAACTTATTTGTAAATACATTATATATACCAGATCGTGCTTATTCAAAATATTTGAATAGCCAATTGATTCAGTTGACTTACAACTCATACGTCTTATAATTCTTCTTTGGATGACTAATATGACAGCCTTTCAGATTAATCAATAGAGATCTTTAATAATTAATCAATAAATGAATTATTTAGTTTATACCATGAATAAAGTTGATTTTTTGTCCGGAGAGATAGGCAAAAAAATTCAATAGCACAATTACAGTATTATGCTTGAATTAAAACAAAGAGAGAATTAAATACTTATTTAATATATTCAAAAATATATATATTAATGATAACAATTTACAATAATCTATAAGAACAATTTTTTCCAAAAAATTAATTATAACAATTTCTTATAAATTTCTTAAAAGATGAATTCTCGAATTTTGGAATTGTTATTGCTTCTTAATAATTCGATTAATTTTTTGGCAATTTTTTTTTTGAAATTTATCAGCCAGTGACTTTTCTTGATAAATATAAGCTTCGTATGATTTTCATAAGCATTGAATTTGGATTCCAAATTTATATCTAATTTTAAGAGATAATATAAATTATTTGCTTAATAAAAAGTTTCTTGAATAAAGCATATTCATCTGAATGCAATTTGCTAAAAACTTGATCCATAAACATATAGATACACATTGATCCATTCATCTATACAAAAAAAAAAGTCGAAAATTAAATATTCAATATGTTAAATAGCAAAATTCAAAAATTTGCAACTTGATCTATAGTTCGACGTTTTTGCGAACATGCATATCTATTATAACATATAATAATTTTGAATGGAGTGTATGTTGAATAGTGTCCAGAGTGTGTCATTCAACATGTAAATTGTCTTGTAAAATTCGAAATTTTCAATTTTTTATTTTGAGCGACATAATAAATTTTTTTTAAAAAAGCAATGTTATGATTCAACAGAAATTTTACTATGTGTTGTGCACCATCG